TGAGGTCATATAGATATGCCCTGATCCAATATGACTGATGTTCTTAGAGGAAGAGGAGATTAGGACACGGACACGCCTAGAGAAGAGACCATAGGAAGACACAGGGAGGAGATGGCCATTTACAAGCCCGGGAGAGAGGCCTCAGAAGAAATCAACCCCGTTGACACTTCGATCTTGGAGTTCTAGCCTCTAATATTCTGAGAAAATAAATTTATATTGTTTAAGCTAAAAAAAAAAAAAAAAGACTTCCATTGAGGAACTTGAGATGGAGTCAGTGGAACAGGACAACATGCAAATGAGTAATGTAAGGCAGAGTGTAGTGTGTACCAACCAGGGAAGACAGATAATAGGCGCCAGTGAAGCTGTCCCTGTGGCCTTCATGGCAGGAGTCGGACGGAAGCTTTGTCCTAAAGAAGCAAGAGAGAATTTGCATAGGTGAGGAGCGGGTGTTCCAGGTGTATTACAAGGCCAAAGATGCGCAAGTAAAACTTCCATTCAAAGAAGGCAGGAGGGGTGGGGCAGCAAGGCTGGGGAAAGGAGGCTTGGACTTGAGAATGGTAAGAAATCAGACACAGCCAGTCTCTTTGGAATGAAGTGTTTCCTGTTTTTAACAATGGCAGTGCCACTGAAAGATTTTAATAAAAAACTGTGTTTAAAGATGATTTATCTGACTGTCACACGTAGAAGGAGGTGGCAGTAATTGGAAAAAGTAGGATCAACTAAAAGCCTCTGGGAAGGTTTTTTATATGAGTCCCATCGCAGGCTGGTAGTAATGAACTTGAAATAAAATATAGAGGAGACACTGGTAATCGAGTTGGCATCTGTATGAAGAGGGTGAGTCAGAGAGTCTAACCAAGTCACCGAATTTCACAAATGCTCTGTATTCCTAATAAATATGTTGCTTAAAGTTTCAACAGTAAAATCATAGATCTGTGAGTGAATAAGTTAGTGTTTAACACAAAAGCAGCAATCCATTTTACTTTAATGTTTATAGAGTTTGAGTATAAACATCTTCAAGCTACACCAATACACATGCCCCATGCTTTTTCCCACATGGGCACATCTGCAAGTCTACCTGAGGATGGAAGGTAGACATATTTGTAGAGCCCATACATACCTGTGCCAGGCCCTTGGCCAATTGCTGGGGATACAGAGATAAAAGACAGACTGTGCCTTTGAGGTGCTCGCAAGCTACATTCTTCCTACAAAGTCAGCCACTGCTTCAGTGACCACACCTTCAGGGCTGTCCCACCTGTGTGTCCATATCAGATTGTGCTCCTGCTCTCCAGCCTTGTCCATGCATCTGTCTATGAGACTCCCTCACCTGCCTGTCCACAGATGTCTCCTTGTCAACATCTGCAACACTGGACACTGACACCTTCCCCTAGAATCTGCTTCTCCTCACGCGAGGTTCCCTGAGAATGGTGAAACCTAGGGCCCCTCTTCTTTGGATTGTCCCACTGCTGTCTCACTCTTCAAGTTACCATCCTTAAGTTCTGTTGATTCTAATTTCTGGATATCTCTCTTATCCAGCCACCTCAACAGTCACCTCTTCAGTGCCAGCTACCACCATCTGATGGCTGCCAAAACTTCCTAAGTGGCCTCCTGGCACGCCAGCCTGGAGCAGTCCCATCCACTACCCACACAGCAGCAAGTGTGACCTTTCTAAAATGAATATATGATTGAGTCGGCTTAGCTGCTTAAAACTCTTTAATGTTTTCCTATTGCTGTTAAAATAAAGTGCAAATCCCTTCATATGCATTGCAAAGCCCTTTATAGCCTGGATCCTGCCCATCTTCCATCCTCACTTGACTCCTATTTCCTCTCTAAGCACCAGCCACACAAAATTCTTTCAGTTCCTCTAATGGTCCATGCTCTAAATCTCTTCCCAGGAGCCACATATGCTATTTTTCCTGCCAGAAACACTATTCTCCTTTCCTGCAAATTCCCATGCTCTAGGCGCGGGTCATGCAATGGGGATGATATTTAGTCCACTGTGTTGGAGTGGGATGTTCTGCTAAAGCATAATCGTGGAGTTTTCTCATGCCTGTTCAATGAAGATGTGCCCAGCACACACACACACACACACACCCCTCCACGCTCCTTAGGAGTGTGAATAATCTTTGAGGCATCCAGAGGCACCTTCCTCTTTTGAAGGAAGGAGGAGCAGAGAACCCTTTACTTGTTCTCATCAATAAGGATAGCCTTATTGTCCAAGAACAAGGCATCATCAGGCCCTTGTCTTGGCTAAATAGGAAAGGAACCCACCCCATAAGGAAGAACAGGAGAAGTAGTTCCGGATTCAGAATGAATGGACATGGCTACCCAGATCAACTGGAACCCAGAACTCCTAGGGCCAGTGGGCTAGCCTGTAGTGGAACTTGAGCACTAAGGGTGATAGATATCCTAGGAACCCCAAGTGATAGACCTCTTTGGTGGAACTTACCATGAAGGCAATAAAATAATCTTCCCTCAAAGATCCCTTGAGGGCTTATGCTAAGTGACATAAGTCAGACAGAAAGACAATACTGTATGATCTCCCTTATATGTGGAATCTAAAAAAACCAAACTCACAGAAACGGAGAACAGATTAGTGGTTGCCAGAGGCAGGGGGAAGAGAGTCAGGGAAATGGGTGAAGGTGGTCAAAAGGACAAATTTTCACTTTAAAGACGAATAAATTCCGAGGATGTAATGTACGACATAGTGACTATAGTTAACAATACTGTACTGTTTACTAACAGTCACTAAAACATCTTAAAAGTTCTCATCACAAGAAAATAATTTGTAACTATGTGAGGTGATGGATGTTAACTAAACTTATGGTAATCATTGTGCAATATATATATATATATATATGTATTGACTCATGTTATACACTTTAAACTAATACAATATTATATGTCAGTTATATCTCAATTAAACTGGAGGAAAAAAAGATCCCTGAGGACTTGTGAGCAGACAAGATCAATAGTGGCCCAGCGACGGCTGCTAGAACATCTCATACCTGTTGCAACAGAGGTTCCTGGTGGCCCAGGATCCAGCGAGGCGGCAGCAGTGGAAGGCTGACAGCCCACGGGATGGAAGTCAGCAGCCTCCCCGGAAGCCCCCACGTTCCTGGCCTGTATCATAGCCCCAAGTTTACATCTATTTCTAAACTCTTCTGGTAATTATGGAAAAAAAGTAATGGTTAACTGGGAGTCTGTGAAACCTCTTACTGGTTTACTCAAGATCATGCAGCGAATATAGGAAGAGACTGAAACAAAAAAAAAGTGATTCAGTAAAGACGAACAGTATGCCGGGCTTTCAAAAATGTAAAAACAGAGGTGAGAAGGGAAAGACCCATTAGCTCATTGATCTATGACAGTCAGGAACTGTTCCCTACAATGTTTTGATGGTCTCTGGCTCTGACTGGAGCTACTGGAAATTATGCCAAGTCACATTAATTAAGTCTGCGTAAAGCCTCAGCGAGGAAAAGTGGTTTCTGCACAGAGGAATGTGACACAGAACCAAGGCAATGTGACCAGACCTCATTATCTTAGTGCCTTTGATAACTTACTGGAGAGCAGAGCTGGGTTTTGAATCGACTGAAATCTTCCATAAATGGAGTCTAAATGCAGGCTCCATAACATCCAAAAACTCCCCAGAGAAATTCCTATTATGTACATGGAAAGGGGAATGAAGCAAGTCCCATCTGGCTGGGCAGAGAATATTCTCTGCGGAGTGAAACTCTGTGGCTCCTGTGTTTAGCGCCAAGTGCGTGTTTGTACTAGACCAAGGCCCTGAACACGGAGGTGTAAACGTACTGGAAACTCAGCCAGACGGAGCAGGCAGTGCTAGACGATTCTTTGTCTCTAAAACATCCAAACCACAAGACAAGATATCAATAGGGGTATGATTTTTATAAAGTCCCTAACTGGTAATGAGACGATGTTATGACCAGTGCTACTCAGAATCGCTAGAGCAAACTGGAGTGACTGATTATCTTTTTCCCTTAGCCTCCCATCAGTACACAAGCTAAAATCAAGAACAGGCTGACATACACCTCTGTGACTTTTGCTTTATGGGGCTGACACTCTCGGGAAAACCCCAGAACTTTAAAGTAAGTGCACAGTGAAATCAGCCTTATTAGGAAATAAAGGCACAGATGGATGAAGTGACAACTCAAATGTCACCTGCTCAAAGAGGCCTCCCCTGACGAGTCTCAAGTACTGTGCTCCCTTCTTCGCTACGTAGTAACCTCTAGTTGCTCTGTAACACATTAACTTTTATAACCATCGAGTTATCTCATGAAGTCTCTGCAACGGAAGGCTTTATGGAGTCTGGAAAAACCAGCATTCACATCTATTCATCGAAAAGTCACATATTGGAATGAAAAGTGTTTCTTACAGACGTAATGTTAATTAAATCCATACCGAGCCACAGCGGTTTGAAGCAACACCACTGCGAGTGTGGTCCACGGACCAATGGTATCTGGCAGTCGGGGGCCCACCGGAGACCCAGTGGATCAGGTAAGCTCAGTGTGGAGCCCCAAAATCTGTGTTTAAGCTCTCTGGGTGATACTTATGCACCCTAAAGTTTTGAGTAAATGTTATTCAGAAATAAAGGTGGGAATAAGCAAAGAATGTCACGAGGACTAGGATTTTGCCAGGGACCATGACAGATTCTTGCTGCCATTTAGATTTGAAAAATCAGGAAAAAAGGAGGAGGACGAATCATCCGCAAAATTACGTGTGTGAAGATGGTGCTTCGAATGCACGTTTCCATGTGCCATCAGATACCTGCTCCATAACGTCTCACGGAGGCAGCTGAGACCCGGGTAAACAGCCAGCACGTGGGCCATGCCCCCTCTCTGCAAAGCTCTCTCTTAGCCTGCTTACCCTCTCCTTTCCCGGGGCAGCGCCATCTGTGGCTCTTTCTAGGAATCATTCTAAGAGGTGATGGACCAGGTCAAATGAGAAGAAGCAGACCAGCCAGGGACAAGAGGGTGGTCGCGCCGTACCGTGATTTAGATGTCTGATGCAGTCGCTCAGGAGAGCACTGAACTTCTTCTGGTCAGCTGCCTCGTGGAAGCAGAAGTAGCCGTGTCTGAGGAATGGCTGCCACAGGTACACTGGATATTCCTTCGGCAAGACCACAAAAGGCGGAGCAGTCTCCTTCTCGTTGGATGCTAAAGAAATATCGAAAACAAAAAGACGTTTTCAAACGTGTCTCTTTTATTTAAAATATGTATTTCGGGCTGTGAAGGTAACTCCCTGGGCAGGCCATGGGATGGGAAGGTGGTGCGAGATATCTTCACAGGCGGGGTGGTGGGGGGAAGGATGCGAATTCAGGCGCTGCTCGCATCCTTCTACCAGCTTCACCTGTCTCACCTCCTAAAACTCCCTGGGCAGGCCATGGGATGGGAAGGTGGTGTGAGATGTCTTCACAGGCGGGGTGGTGGCGGGGAGGGGATGCGAATTCAGCCGCTGCTCGCATCCTTCTACCAGCTTCACCTATCTCGCCTCCTACCCCACAGGGACAACCAAGGCCATCAGACGCAATCTTTCCCAACTTCCTCACATCGAAATAACGTACGGAGCTTGCTCTTCCCTCCTGGCCCACTGCAAGCTAACCTGTCCGCCTGTGCAGACACCCTACTCTCCCTGCAGGCTCCCCTTCCACCGGATCTGCTGTCTGCCCTCCTCGCTGTCACTGTTGAACAAGCATTTGCTGTCTTCACGCCATCAACCCCTATTCTTACCTTAGTCTTGTTCCTGCCCCACCCGTCAGTCCTGAAACCAAATTGTCAAGTTCGCCAGTGTCACCCGTCAGTCCTGAAACCAAATTGTCAAGTTCCCCTGACTGCCAGCCTATGGCTTCTTTATTATCTGTCCTTTAAAACTGACCTGAAACATCTGTTGCTGCTAACAACCCCTTCTTTTCAAAATATTCTTCTATTTTGAAATTTCCTAGGACAGTGTGGCACATTTATTCATTCAACAAACTATAGTTCAACATCTACCAGCTTCGGTGACTGTGCCATGCACTGAGGATGCAGAGATACGTAAGCTGCACCTTTCTAGGAGCATCTCTCTCCCGGTGCCCTTTATGATTTTCAAAAGTTCTTCTTTGTCACGTTTCTTGGTTCCTCTGCCCCTTCTCTGCATCCCTTGGTAAGTGTTGGGCTTGGTCTCTGTTCCACGCTGGTTTCTGCTCCCCTCTCAGTCGCTAGTCATGGCCATCCACTCCATGACTTTGCTTATTTATTCTGCAGTTCATATTACCTTTTCCTCCTTCCCTTACATCATGTTTTTGCATAGAAAATTCTCATTCATCCTTCAGAAGTCAGGGGAAAAGCCACCTCCTCTAAGGTGCCTTTGTTGGCACCTCTCTCTGCCACCAGAGACAGAGTTGGGTGCTCCCTACCTTGTTTTCCCAAAATATTGTAATGACCTGTTTCCTTGGCTGGTATCCATAGCCAGGGTGAGAGGTGCAGAGTGAGAAAAGCTCCCCCATGATTCTCCCCAGGAATCAGAACCACTGCCCTGGAGCTCACAGAACATGAAGCCCGCAGCTTACATATCCTCAGTGCATGGCATAGCCATGGAACCTAGTAGATGCTGAACTACGGTTTGTCGAATGAATAAATGTGCTACACTGTCCTGGGAAATTTTAAAAGCCTAAAACAATGGGGACTTTACCTCTTCCCTCAAAATCAATTCCAAGAAACTCATGTTAAGCCATACTATTACTCAGATCCCCTACCTAGACTTTATTCCCTTCCATGCATTCTACTTACATGACACTGCACTTAGTTAAATGAGCCTTGGTTTACTTCCAGAGTCACAGAGAACAAACGGAAGAAAAAATCAGTTCTGTGTTTCCTGCCTACATCCTGGGCATCAATCTCAGGAAAAGGAAGGGAAGAAGGACCCTCTAAGTGGCCACTGAAAGCACTGGGCATACCAAGAAATGGTTCGTAACCATAAGGGGGTCTCCAGAACCGAGACTTGCTATGGGCAAATTAATAAACCAAGCTTGGCTTAGATAAAGAATATGTCTGTTGGGGCTTACATGGCATGGGAACCCTGTTTCCGTGTCCTGAAATCTGAAGTTAACATAGCAGAATCTACTGGGAGCACAAACTTTGGCCCACCAGCAATATATCTGGCGTATAATAACCGAAGAATGAATCAACATATGAATGAACAAACGAATGATTGAACACTGCAGCAGAGACCACTCGTTGTGTCACACATTATCTAATCTCCCTTCTTTCTCAGTAATAAAGTCCTTGATTTTTAGTTGAGCAAGGGCTGCATAGAATAAAGACTATAATTCCAGCATCTATGGCAGCTTGGTGTGCCACAGTCACTACGTCCTGGCCAATGGGACGAAAACTGAAGTGGCAATGAAACTTCCTTAAGGAGATGGAATGTGTCCATCTCCTCCCCTTTTCTCTTTCCTGCTGTCTGGAATGAGAAAGCCATGGCTGGCTGTCCAGCAGCCACTTCGGACTATGTCATTAAGGGCTACAACCTAGAGATAAATGGGGAGAAAGCTAGAAAGAGTCTCTAACATTTATGGAACCTGTCGCACAAGCTCTGGACCTCTAGTATCCAAATATTTTTAGCAAGATAATGAAACCTTATGTATTTAATTTGAGTTTTGCAGCAGACTAGATTCTGAAGAATAAAATGCCAAATAAATGAATCATTTTAGCAAGACATGGGGACATTTTTGATATATCATCTTAGCAGAATACTATGTAAAAAAAACATATTTATTGATAAACCTTTAGTGCCTTTTCTCAAATGAGATTAATTCCTTGCATCTTTACTGTGCCTTTATTCTTTCCAATAGAATGAGTATCACACAGGCAGTCTTCCTGGTTAACACGGTTTTGTGAAACAATTATCCTCGCCCTTTCCAGGATGTCACAATTTTGCACAAACAACTGAAAGCAACATTGATCCTTTGCATTTCAAAGCTTCAGAAAGTCCGACAAAAATTCACTCACAAAAATTCACTCGTATTAGCCTATTAGATAACTATCTCGCATTGAACCTTTTAAAAGAATTTTCCAGATGCCATTAGTCTGTGTTTTTTCTGAGTTGAGTTACAAAAATATCACAAATGATCTACTGTAGAATATTCTATTTCTAAATCTCAGAAGCCCACAGCATATAAAAGAAAGTCATTGAAATGCCCCAATCTGAAGCCCTGAACCAAATGGCATTAGTCACCCAAGACTTGTGTTTTTTATTCCCTTTCATTCTTTCCGATATGATTTCATCAATATGTCAGTAAATATATTGTCTGTTCTGATTGATTTCACTGGGAAGTTCTTTGGGAGAGATTCCGAAGGGTCAACATGTGGATATTCCCATTTCTAGCCGCAGCTCCAGAGCCAAGATGACAAAATAAGTAGATGTTGAAAGAAAATATAATAATATGTACAGTGCACATTAAGTATTATTTTAGCTTGAATTACTTAATAATAGTTTGTTAATCTAGGTTTATGGTCCATGTGTTAATCTTATAATAGTGTTATTGAAAACACTAAGCTAAGCATTCTGTACTAAAATAACTATTGAATTAATGATTAGATTTTCTCCATAAATTCTAATGAAATGATTATCCCCATTAATAAGAACCAGTACTCTCTTCAAGAAACCAAGTAATTACTGTGCGGTATGATTTACACAAAGCCAGATGGAGTTATTACATTATCCACAGTTCATGAATCTCTATGAAACACACTATTTGGTATATATATATTATCCATCATTCTCTCTACATGGAAAAAAGTAGAATGAATGAGAATCAAAGTATGTTAGAGGTGGAAAAAATCCTTTCAGATTTTTAAGTTCAAAGTTGGAGAAACAGTAATCAAGAGGTTTAATACCACTAGGAAAAGCACTTGATAAGTGGCACAGATAAAACTAGATAAAAATCCAGCCTCCCATTCTCAGTTCAATGCTCTTTCCATGGCAGCCTTCGGCTGTTATTAATAAACATGCTAATTAATTCCATGCCTGTTACCCTGTAGCTATGAGTTACTGTAATGCTTGTTAAGAGCATTTTGTCGATTTAGGATATTCTACTGCCTATCTTCCTTAAATTAGAAAAATAATATTCCTCGACAGGTCCTGGCTTGTTTACTGAAAGAAGAGATCATACATTTCTATTTATTTCTGCTGTCTTAGGTAGTGCTATTAAGACTTCTAATATATTCCAAAAGCCTCAAGATGCCCAAGAAATGGCACATTTTCCATGCACTAGAAACACAGCAACTGACTTGTATATTGCTGAATGTGATATAAATAATAGAAATGGTACAATGTTTACCTAAATTAGGGAAATTACATCTTCCATTTGTCTATGGAGTATGGGTGTCTAGCCTAGAGTTTCTCAGCTTCGGCAACAATTGATATTTTTATGCCAGATAATTTTTCACTGTCAGGGGCCGTCTTGTGTGCATTGCAGGATATTTAACAGCAGCACTGGCCTCTATCCATTGAATGCCTGTAGCACCATCCTTTTAAGTTGTGACAACCAAAAATGTCTCTGGACACTGCCAAATGTCCCTTGCGAGTGGAATCTCCCTCCCCCAATGAGAACCTCTGGTCTAGCTAAACAAAGCAAGTTTAGGAATTTTGCCTTGGGAAAAAATGCTCAGCAACTCACCAAGAGGGTCTGGAAAATGCCGATCGGATAACAAATTATATTCATCTTCTGAGGTTAACACCTTGCCACCGGCTGGAAGAATTCGGCTTTTAGGAGCAGCTCGTTTCTGATAGGCCTGGGAAAAGAAGGCATAAAGGAGTGATTTTTTTTCCCCCTATTTGGGTTTTTGAAAAATAGCAGGAATATTAGAAATAGATTCAGACCCAGACACTCAGAAATAAGCAATTCCCACACTACGTCACTAAATGAGAACCATTTATTCAAAAAAATGTTTTGCATAACTGCTACTTACAAGATATTACTTTAGTACTTTTGCGTGATGGTCGTCACAACATGGTAAATCAGAGTCCCTAATCTCAGGGAGATTCCCGGTAGGTATATTTGTTTCTCAAATAGGGAAAACATAATCTCAGTAACTTCTAGAAATCCTGCACCACACTTGCCATTTCAGACGCTGGCACCTGAATCATTCTAATAACCACAGGGTGATGATGCATACAGACATTTATTTATTGCACAAGATGCTTGCAGACTGATGACTAATGAGACTGTAGGACAGGTAACTGCAATCACGGTTGCCATGGATTTTCACCAAACACATAAAACTGTTGCCACGATAAAATATGCCACCATGGTGCTCTCAGATGTGAGACTGTTTTGCAGTAAAATGATCTGAGAAGGAAGTGCAATATCAGGACATCAGAACACATTCGGGCCAGCAGACAAAAAGCTCTGGGAAATGTAAAAAAAAAGGTGCAGAGCATTGGGAAATGTGAAAAAAGGTGCAGAGCATTACTAAAGCACTAACGTCGTTTGTTAAGCAGACATACCCACAAGGACATACAGATAAGATAAAATGTAAGTATGTGCATCAGATGGCAGGGCTTAAGTCAAGGCAAAATTTTGAGAATAACAAGCTAAAAGCAAGTTCAGAATTGAAATTAAGCAAACTGTGGAACCCCGAATCTATAGAGTATACTGTTGGGAATAACTAAGTGATGTTGGCCAGGGCAACAAATTCAGAATAACATTCTCCACCAATAAGATGGTGACTGAAGAGACTTAAACAAAAACTCTCATATATCTAAGGTTGTTTTCCTACTTGCAAAACCCAGTCATCAACTGCTTATGCTCATTGGGGACCCAGAGCTTAAGAGAAGAATCTAAAGTTGTGTGATTCTGAAAAAGTTTAGAAGCAGTTTGATTCAGTCCGGCCTCCAAGCTAAATTGTACTATTTGTTATAACATGCCCCAATCTGAGCCTTTGTAAACATTATATTATTTAAAAGAAGTTATATAACTTGCCAACGAACCATTGGTGAATAGGTAGCAGATCCAGGATTCATACCTGAGTCTGTCAAGCCCAGTGCAAGTGTCCAGGAGGGAGGGAGAGATCATCAAAAGAAAGCGCTTCATTTTTTTTCCTGCTTAATTACCAGCCAAAACTAGACATTCAATAAAATAACAGGCAATTTATAGGTATTTAATGTATAACTCTCAGGTGTAATTTTTAAAAACACACTCTTCTACAGATTAAATTATAAAATGTTATTAAAACTTTAGGGATTATGACAAACTGCATGGCATTTGTTTAATTTCCAAGTTTTTTTTTTTTAATACTTGGTTATTATCAAATGCAGTGACCATCTTAAACATCCAAACAGGTTTATTTGAAAATGATGAGCAAATAAATTAAAAGTCGAGGAAGAAAGCTTAAAAAAAAAAGTAAAAGAAAGAAAGAAAAACACCAAATTCGATTCAATATGAAACTTCAGTTCAGTGCCAAGTACGGTGAAAACAACAAGCTCGATGAGTGTTTCCTCCCAATTAGTTAGTTTGTAATCCTAAATGCTCTAACGTTGGGCTCTGCCAGAGCCTGGCCGTAGGCTAAGTGCTTCAGTGCATTCATTTGTTGGATCCTCACAACACGAATCATGCTCATCATTTTAACAATGAGGAAACTGAGGTTCGAGATTTAAGATTTACGAAAGGACACATCTAGTAACTGGTAAAGGCGTGAATCAAAGTCCACAATATAAATAATCCTTATGCAATACTGCCTCTTCTCAAGTTTCCTTGACAGAACATTGTAACATGCCACAGAAAACAAAGGCGGTTTAGTATTATTATCATTATTATTTGTAGTGTATTGATAATTTGCTTCAGAGAGCATATCAAGTGTCGAATAAAATCCCAATATAGCTAAGCAAAGAAAAGGTTAGCTTAATGAATGCTGAAAAGAATACGTCTACCCAACACAGCATTGCCTGGTTGCCTGTGAATTGTTTGTATTGTGTTTTCCTTCTATTTTCCATCACAAGGGTGAAGGAAACACATTGGTCTGTCAGCCCAAGGCCTCTTCCTAAACGTTTAGTATCCGGGGGATTGCTCAGAGTATCAGTGGACGTCATCCTGGCTGTTCTTAAACTCAGTCAAGAGAGCAGAGTTTTAAATGTTACTACATTTAACTAATAGATAGTACCGATGTGTTTCAAAGGCAGTTTGAGGATGTATGTAGATTAGAAATGTGTACAGTATGAGATCTTAAAAAATTATTGGGATCCCTAGTTTAATTGATGCCCGACTTAAACTTTAGTTTTCCAGATTCACCGCCCAGTTTTGTTCCTCTACACTTTCCATGGAGAAAGATATGGGGACCAATAAAAATGGAAGTCCTTCCAGGTTCTAGGCACCGTATATATGTTATCTCATTTTCCCCACATTTTACAGACAAGAAAAATAATGAGATAACCAAGAAAAGGTTAAATTTAAAAACAAATCCATAAGTACAAGTGGATTAAGTATGCGAAGTGTTCTAAATTCCTAGGAACTCATGCAAATTCAGTTGCAATGTTATTAAATAATTCCTCAGCTGCCTGTCACATACGAGGCTTAAGAGTGGGAGGACCTGGAGACAGAGCCGAGGCGGAGAGATATCAGGGCAGTGACTGAAAAAGATCTGAATGATCATAGGAAAAGCTCCTCAGCATAACTTATTTTCACACTCATTTGCAATTACTTGTTCAAAGTCCATCTTGTCCACTAGACCGCAAACATCTGTCTGATCTACTGCTATCTACCCAGAACCCTTTATAACATGTGGCATACACTAGGCACCCAATAATCACTTGTTGACTGAAGAGTACCTGCAAGAGAGTGAGTGCTTATTGAAAGAATCAGCCTTGAAGGAGAAAGCATGACAATCAACCCGGCCAATGTTTAAGAATATTGCAAGAACCAATGGTAACAAGAAAATGTCTTACCTCTTTGTTCTCATAGCTCTCCACAGCAAAATCATTTTTAATCACAACATATCTCTCCTTCCATTTCTTTATATCTTCAGCAAACTGTAATAGTTCTGCTTCATACAAAACAGTTCCAGGTTCCAATGGTGGCTTTAGGAAGATAAATACAATTAACTACGACAACAACAGATAATATGCTACCATTAAGTCTGTCCATGGCATTTCAAAGAATATTTTGGGAAACTGTCTTGTGCTGAGGTTCTGGAGAAATTGTCGCTTCTTTCCCTCCTTCCATACTTCCCTTTCCTACTTCTCCTGAACAAATGCAAATATTTGTCTTATTGATATTTTTGTGATTTTCATTTCCCTCCATTACGCTACAGGAACAGAAGCATATGGTGGAAGGGATTATCGTAATAAGGTTATGCCTCATACACACATGGCACTTAATAAATCCTTGATTAACTCGGTGGACAAGAAAGAGTGAAGCAATTAAGAATAAGTTGTAGACATCTACCCCAACACCTTCAATATGCTTCAGGGTTATGTCCTGAAAAACGGGAGAGCTAGCAGGCTGTTCCCCTAGTCATCACACTTTCAGGTGGCCTCAAGAGTCAGCCTCGATGGTCTTTCCAGACCCAAAATCCCTGGGGACGAGGCTACAAAAACTTAACCCATCCCCATGCTTCTCAAGGAGACAATGTTGGTTCTCCAATCAAAGAACAAGCAGGCAAGCCAGCAACCTCAGTTTGAGCATCTCTCGTGAACTCTGGTGACGTACGTGTTGCAGGAGAGTCTCTGAGATTCCTAGCTAGGTCCCCCACTGCGCTAACTGCATAAGGGATCATTCCCATTCTGCCTCACAGTGCAATGCTGGTGTTATCTCAAAATATAGAAACTTCTGTCTTTTGGGCCTTCTGTCTTTCACATAAATTTATATCTATTTTGCCTTTATTAAAAAATCACGGTGCCTTTAGAAACTCATCCCTCTACATCCAGGCAAAATTTACATGAACCATACAGAGAAAATAGATATGCTAATCTTTTTAAGAATCATCTGAAGGATGAAATAAATTCACTTCCAAGTCCCAGGGCCTAACATAGTGTCCTGACAGACAAGGAGGCAGTCTCCTATCTCACCTGATTAACAAGTAAGAGAGGACTTCACTCTTCTCTTTGAATGAGACTGAAAACATACATAAGCAGAACTATGTATTGTTCTCACGTGCAGCATTTCTCAAATCTAGGCCACTTAAATCAACTGCTAACGCTCGTTTAAAATGTGGCCTCCCCCTAGACTTACAATATCAGGACCTCTGAGGGTACGGGATATAATTTACATTGTAACATACTTTCTAAATTTTGAGGATCACTGTTCTATGGCATTAACAATCAGTTATCCCCACACACGGAGGCTGCTACATCTGTGGGTCACCTTACTCAACCTCTCAGCTGTATTTGATCCATTTAATACACCTTTTCTTGAAACCTCTCTTTTATTTGCCTTCTGGCACATTGAATTTTCCTGATTTTTCTCCTACCCCACAGGCTATTTCTTCTCTATCCACCTTGCTGGATCCTTCTCCTTTTTCTGATCTCCAAATGTTGGAGGGGCCAAGGCTTGGTTGGGAAACCTCTTCTTTTTTCTGTGGATACTCTCCCTCCATCATGTCCCATGGCTTTACTACCAGTTATAAGCTAAGAAATCCCAAATGTCTATTCTCTAGCCTCAACCTCTCCAGATCAGAGCGTTCAACTACTAATTCAATATTTCCACGGCTGTATGTCAAAGAAGTATCTTAAACTTAGCATGGCCAAAATTGCATTCATGATTCCCATCTGCCTCTAGCTCTTCCATCCAAAAGGCAACCACATCCATTTATTTGCTTGGGCTAAAAACCAAGAAGTCATCACTGATTTCTCTCTTCTTCTATTCTTTCACACTCAGTCCATCAGCAAATTCTGTCAGCGCTCTCAAATACATCTTGACTGGGACCTTTCCTCATAACCACTACCATCGCCACCCTGGTCCAATTTGCCACCACCCTTCTCTTGGACCGCTGCAGTGTCCTCCTCGCCAGTCTCCAACTTCCCCTCACATCCCTCGCTATAGTCCATTTGCTTTAGAGAGGCCAGAAAAACCACTCAAAGTTATAAGTCCCTCCGAAGAGTTCCCATCACACTTAAAATAAAAACCCTTATTGTGGTCTACGGGTCTCACGTGGTCTGGTCCCTGCCTGTCACTCTGCAGTTATTTCTCGTCCCTTCTCCCTTGCTCACACCGCCTTCAGCACACCAGCCTTCCTGAGGTGCCGGGATCGCTACAGGGTCTCTACACTTGCTCTTGCACCGGCCTGGACCACTCTTCCCACAGATATTCACACAGCCTACTCTTTCATTCCAATTTCTACACAAACATCATCTCCACAGAGGGCTTCGCTGACCATCTTCTCTAAAATAAGACTTCTGCTTTCCTTTTCTTTGTAACATTTATTATCACCTGATATTCATTTATTTGTTACAGTCTCCTATAATTGAATAAAATGAGTAAGGCAGAGAATTTGTCTTGTTCCTCAGTTCTTGGAATAGGGCCTGGCACGTAGTCGGTATCAATAATTATTTGTTGAGGTTCTGTATAATTATTATGGTGGAGCAAAGGGGAAAGAATAAGTTAGGGGAATAGAAGAGAAAACAATATTTGATCGGTGACCAAAATAAAAGTGCCCATAGCACAAGGCACTAAAATTATGACTTTTTAAAATTGAACTTTATTTACTACAGCAAGTCAAATTTCCAGATATCAAAGCATAAATGTGGGGAACACATAATAAAATTGGATCATGCTAGTTTTTAAAAAAATTAGATTATACCATCAACAAGAATCCATATGTTCTAATTTTAGGTAAATAGAGTTTTTTAAGTATGAAATGATTTGAGAACACAGTTTAAAAAAAAAAAAAAAAAACCACTGCCCTTCCAATGATTCTTTATTTCAGGTATGTCATGAGTTATAAAGCATTCTTCAGTGGGAGAAATATGTAAACCAAATGTCCATGACTTACCTTGGTCTTCAAAAATTGTGATGCTAAATCCCTTTGCTGTTCTACCTCACTGCGCACATGGTTGCAGAAAGCCACAGAGTACTGGCGAATGTAGTAGGGACTGAAGTTTTTGATAGCAGCCTCAGTTTTCCCTGGAAAAACATGAAAGTTAGAATTTAGAAATGTAGCATCCCTTACAGAATAGACACCTGTCTACATAATTCTATACACACCCCTCCAGTCTCCCAAATACCACTGTTTCCCAGAAACGTATGAGTCCGCATGCCCTGAAAACTTTGATACACGCTGTACGCACCTTTACCTCTCCCTCCCACTTCTGACATCATCCGGAAAAACTCTGTGGTCCCTAAGGACTATCTACCCAGTAACCAATAGAATTTTTCTTCACGTTGCATCAATAAGACATTGCCATGGCCATAATCTCAACCATGCTTCTAATCCTTCTACAATCACCATTCTACTTCACCCTGTTCTCCACTTGAACTTACTCTTCATTCTCCTTTACTTTCAGTCCTGCAATAATCCCAGGGTCCACCATTTCAGCTCTGTACACGCATCGCTCCATGTGTCTGCGAACCCCTGAGATGCCACCTCTTGTCTTGCTGATACACAGCCCCGGATAAAAAAAAAACTAACACCCTATTTCTTCTGGATCTACCCTTATGTTTTGGGTTTAAAATCTGTTGTCAGTCAAAGCATTATGTAATTGCCAGGAGGTAGAGGAAAAGCTTTGTTTTAAGGGTCTAAAGACCTGAGTTCCGGTCTCAGCTCTAGTGGGACAAAAAACCAGCTGTACTACCTCAGCCAAGCCTTTCATTTTCTCCAGGCTCCAGCGTCCCTAACTGTAAGAGAAGGTGCTTGCCTGCCCATACTTTTCTTGGAATCTCCGTGACACTGACATATAACCATGGATGTACGGCTGCCTTACAATAGTGACCAACTGCAATATGCTCTCTTGACACCAGAAGAAAATGAAGTTGACAGTCAACCATGTGGGGGAAGCTGGAGGACTCGAAATAAAAGGAGAGGGGGCCTCAGGCCCTAGGAATAGTCTTGAGCTCTTGTGACCTGTGCTTGGCTTTAGAGAGTAGGGTAGTATTCTGAAGTAGATTAGAAATCTTTGCAACCTTCCGAGGACTTGCTACAGAGTACAGAGATAATAAATATAGGCCCCATTGACTGTGCTTACAAGGGCTTGGTCCTTGGAATGAGACATTAGCTTGAGACAAAAATGAACCTGATTTAACATTCCAAAACATTTTTAAATGCCTTTATGTGAACTGGGCATAATTTTTGTTTTCAAATTTGATATTACAGTCAACAGAGACATATTAAAATATAGCCTACTGGCTATATAAGATTTGTTTAGAACTATTATGCATGGAAAATTTCAAACATAAGTGGAGTTCTAACCACACAGATTGAGATACTCAATACAAGAACCTTGAATCCATGTCTGCCAACTCCTAACCTATAGAATCACAGCCCAAAACACCCATAGTGTATGAACATTCTCTTTCTGGAGAAGCCTACTTTAGCTCAGGCATTTAGGTCTCATGATATGAAGGAGGCAAAGGAGAATTCTTGCTTATTCCCTCAATAAAAGGACATTTTCTAGTCCCACTTATGGGCCTTAATAATTATTGTTTGTAAGGGTCTTTGAGACTCACTAATAATAGGCTGTGTGGAAATGCCAACGTAAGCTCCTATAATTTGAATCGGGCACGCTTCTGCTTGTTCTATGAGTTTATGGTATTACTATTAATCAGCATTTGCATAACACTTTAATACGCTCAGGCTTTATAACTGTCTCATTGGTTACTATTTTTATTAGCATTTATACAGTGCATAAGAAATAAAATTCTAGATCCTTGTCTATAATTTGCTTACATAAAAGTGGGACATCTTTGAGAATCCCCATAATGAGAATGAGTCTCACCTTACTGAAACATATAAACAATTAACAAAATTTGCCCTTTACGTCCAACTCACCACTATTTTGTCTAGCAGAAGAGCAGCCTGTTAATTTCCGATGCTAATTGTGGCACTCTTGCAAGAACTTTGATTTAAATCAAAGGAAGTGGATGTCATTTTATGATGAGCTCTACAAAGCCTTGAAACCTGGTTTCCTGCCACATCACTAAGCTTCCCTCAAGGGTGCCCAGCTTCTACAGTGATGCTATGATGCCACCACTCCCTCCCAATGCATGAGAAATATACTGTGATGTAAATATTGCATATGGTATCATCAACGCATCATCCACCAGACAACACTTATAGAAAAGGGATTACAGCTTCCTTAGGTAATTAACCTAATGCCCGGTTCAAAATGTGAATAAAACAGCTAACGACATCAGAAGTACTAGGAGGAAGAGAATCTAAAGCAATTCTCAAAATTTATCTAAATTTAGATTAAGCCTGTCTAAACCCAAATAAAGGACAGTCCAACGTCAGGATCTTGATACTTAAGAAGAGCCTGATACTAGGTCAAAATATTGCTGTGGTTAGGAAGATGGACTCTGGAGTCAGACAGACATGGGCTGGAGTTTCATCTCTGCTACTTACTTACCAGCAATGGAACCTCATGCCAGTTGCTTTCTCTTGTATAAATTAAAGACAAGAGGAACGATCTCCTAGTGTTATTGTAATTACGTGAAACAATGCAGTGAAATGCTCAGCACTATAGCTAGCACACAGAAAGTGTTCAATAATCCATAGTAATTAAGTCAATGACAATAATAGTGATGACAGAGCTCCCAAGCCAGCTACTGAGGCAGTGTCCTTAAGCTGAACTAAAAAATCAAGGAGAAGCCAAAAGCAAGCTGTCTACAATGACTATTCAACAGGAGCCATCTTGTCCATACAGAAGAGAGATCCCGCTCATCGCAGGCTTGAAACACATATAACCTACATTTTCACAGATCTTTCAGGAACATTTATCAGTACATAAGAGGCCCTCAGTGCATTCCTGAATTAAAACCGACTAAATAAAACTTTGGCATTAATGAGCCAAAGCAAACATCTGAGTTAATAGCTGTGTTTACACTTAGCCTCTCTCTCTGAGCCTCAATTTTCTTGCCTGGAAAATGGGAATAATAAGACACCCATTTTCACGGAGTTTTCTCTGGATTAAATGAGACAGTCTACAGGGAAAGAAAGTGCTCAGATCAGTGATCAACACTTTAGATGCTCAATAAAACACGACTATTATTTAATATTCCACATGAAAACAATCAAATAAAGCGGATCAGCCCACAGCACCACATAAAATAATTTCAGTTGAAACTAGCTTGTTTCTACAGTTTTCAAGATTCTTGAGTATTGAATTGCCTTCATTTCCCACCCCGCCCCTCAAATTGGTGTCCTATTCTCTTTCCTAAATTGTTTGTAAAACACAGTGCCAGGCAGGTCTTTCACTAAAAACAAGTTACTCAATAATATAAAAACTAGAATCAGTAGAAGGACGTCTCACACACTTTGTTATACCGGCATTTTTGGCACACATTTCTAATCCTACTCAATTATTGCAGCCTGGGCTGGGCATTGCGTTGGTGCAATTTTCTTGACCAGCCTGCGCTTGTAACACCCTTCAGGGTAATCATCACTAAAGGTTAAAAAAAAAAAAAAAAGCCATCTCCAACAGCTCTATCTATATCACTTAGCTTCAGTTAACAATGTAAAAATAAGAAAACGATCTTCTGGCTCTTTTAAAACCGATTGAATTCACACACGTTCAAAAACTCAGCACTGCCATTTGATTCCTTCTCCCTCATGCCCATATACAATTATCAGGTCTTGTCACTTCTTATGCGTGCAATATTTCTTGAATCCACTCCATTTTTCACCTTCTCAACCACCACACCTTCAATCAAGTCTTGATTATCTCTTTAAGAACAATGTAAAAGTCTCTTCATCTGCCCTATCTCAGTATCACAGGAGAGCAAGAAATCTTACGAGCGCTCAGTTCTAAAACGGGAACAGAAAAGGGAAAACCAGCTGGGCGGGGGGAGTGCCAGTGCACTCCTGGAGGATTGTGGGAAATAAGGCAGAGCTTGGTCCGTGTGGCAGAGGCCGATTCTGGGAGTAGACAGAGTGAGTCCAGGGCTGATGGAGCAGAACAAGAGAGGCTGAATCCAAGCTGACTACCAAGGTCCCACTCAAGAGAAAGCTGGCACAAGTTATCAAGTCCCAGATGTTAGAATGGGGAACTGTCCTTCAAAAACAAGCGTGGCTACTGTTGCTCCCAGGGACCTCTTTTAAAAGCCATAATAGGCATGCTTCAAGTTGTAGAGGCGTTATTCTCTGTGGCCTAACCTGACAAGTTTCACTTAACACACTGCTGCAAGACCATGTCACCACCTTCCTAAAAACCTTCAACAGTTCCCCATCGCCCCACAGAGTAACTTAGCCTGGCACCCAAGGCCTGGGATCTGGCCCCACTGTCCCATTTCTTACCTCTCCTATTCAAACTATACCTCCCCTTCCCTGCACACGCCCACGCCTTCACCCCTCCTTCTCTCCCTAAATGCCCTGCCAGCCACTTTCAGACACTTCAAGCCCAGATGGCAATCCCAACTCAAGAAGCCTTTTTGGCCCTCCCCAGCTAAAAACAATCATCTCACTTTCTTTTTGCATTTTTCTTAAACAATGTACCACTTTGGCTACAGCTGTTTAAATACAGTTTATCTCTCCCCCAAGGGTATACTGTATTTATGCACTCAACAAATATTTGTTGAGTGAATGAAAGAATGGCAGCATAAATATTTACGAGTAAAGCGAAGTGTAATGCATTATAATCTTGAAATCCATGTCAATACTCCAAGAAAGAAGAAATGCACAGTTCTCAGCTTGAAAATTTATTATTCAATATATATGCTCTCAAAGCTCAACTCATGTTTTTTTTTTTAAATCAGACTCTTACTAATTAACTCCTTTTAGGCTTTTAAATGGATTTTGTGTATGAAATTATATGTGGGGAATTATATACAAACAAAGGCCTTTTTTTGTTTGTTTTTCTTGACCAGTTTGCAAACATGGGAAGTATATAAGTGCCCAGGTAAAACTTATATGAAGTCTGAAGAGCCTAAAAGGTTTGCTGTTTTCTCATTCTAGAACGTTCTTCGTTAATCTT